GTCACTGAAAGTCATGGTCATCATAAGAGGAAAAAAAAGGGGGAAGGAAGACCTCTGACCACAAACCACAGCTTTCCGAGCATCATTCGTCCATATTTGGTCATTTGTTCCTGCCTAATCCATTAGTCAGCTTTCTCAGGTCTCTGAAATTGAACAAGTCAAGACTCTGGTTTCTAATGCAGCCATCTATCCATCTTTCCTTTATTTTTTAACTCAAATGTTTTTGGTTTTTTTTGTAATCTTTGTTTTGAAAATGTCTGTTTTTAAAGAGGAATATGTAATGTACGATTATAACTTACTCTGAGCAAACTTGTTTTTTCTGGTCTGGAATTCAATCCTGATAATTGAGAAATATATTTATGGGTTTTGTGTAATGAATTATAGGAGACTAGTTAACACAGATGCTTCATCTTAACTTTAAACAACACTCACTCTCACTTTTGGTGAACTGGTGAAAATAGAAGATGTACCAGGTAGTAATTTACCTGCTGATTCTTGTTTACTTTTTTATAATGTGGAGACTCTTTGTAATGAAAGGAGACTCATTTAAATTTTGCTTAAAAAAGATGTGACAACAGAAAATTTCCCCACTTCCACTTCCAGTCACTCAACCTTATTTTATCTTGTCTGCCGATTTCTTGGTGGCCGCTGGGATGGTTCCGGAATTTTTTCCACAGAAAAAGGAAAAGTTTATTTTTAGCATATTACAATTTCTGTTTTTTTTTTTTTTTCAGTTTCTGAATGAAGGGGCGGCTAATTGACATGTTTTACAATACTCCCCTAGCTCCCCTAGCCCAGCTCTAAATCCAAAGCTGACATATGGATTGACCACCAGATGGATTTTATTTAATATAAGATTCTAGTGTCAGAAATCCTGATCTAGAATACTGTATTAATGTTGTAACTGTGGTTGTAGAAATAACACAAACATTTTATTGAGTTGTTTTCTCTTTTTGTTATTTATGAAAACCTCAGTTTTTCCACCAAAGTTACAGGCTTTGAGAAAAACTTTCTCTGGGAGTAACAACATTTTATAACTTTATTTACCACCATCCATCCATCCATCCATCCATCCATCCATCCATCCATCCATCCATCCATCCATCCATCCATCCATCCATCCATCCATGGTTATTGCTATTGGGGTCACCAGGGGTGCTGGTCCCCATCTCTATTGGTCAACAGCTGAGAGGTGCAGTCATCCTGGACACGTCTCCAGTCCATCGCAGGGCGGTCATCGGCTTTCATAAGAAGCTGGGGTGTCATTCTCTTCTTCTAGGCCCTGGTTGAACTTGCCTCAACTTACCTGTGAAAAACTTAGATCTGACCTTAAAAGGACTGAAAATATGTTTGTTTTTAAATGTTGTGCTGTGCTGCTGGCACATCTTTGTCTTACTGAAAAGTTACCCCTTAACATCCGAGAAAGGACGCATATGGCTCACCAGATTCCTCTGTTGCCTCTTTAGGTTCTCCATAATTTAATTTTGACTTACGGTAAAATGCACCTGGAGAAGATTACCCATATCGTATATATTAGGAAATACTTTTTTTTTTTTAACAAAACCACATTATGAACAGAAACTAATGTTACAAAAAGAGAAGTGAAGAAAGAGCACATGACAGGAGCTTACGCTTTCATTTGGATGCAGTGCTCAGCAGTTATGAAAGAGGAATCACTGAATAACTGTGTACTGTAGCGGAAATGAGGTTCTTGAAGGCCTCATGGAAAGGAGAAATGACTTAAATGAAGTGATAAGTTTACCAAAATAAAAATTAATTTTTAAAAAAATTTTTTTTATATATATATATATATATATATATATATATATATATATATATATATATATATATATATTTACTATATTCCCTCATATTTACTATGGGTATGAAATACAGTTGTTTTTAAAAATTCCTAAACCAAGTCAAACAAAAAGAAAGGGCATTTCATGATTGCCAAATTTACAAATTCAGGCAGATTGCTGTCGACTAATGACTTCTTTCTTATTATCTTTATGGGATCCGACTTTCTGCCAAATGGGATAAAAATTTACTCCAGTATGAGGCAATCTTAAAGTGAATAATTGCAGTGCAGACCTCAGCAGTTTGTGGCAGGAAAAGAGAGCGCCCGTTGTTATTACTAAGTCATGCATTAATAACAAACTGTCATTGAGGAGGGAAAGGACAGAATCAATTAAATGTAATGGACCCGTACAAAGATTCCCACTTGCAGTGTTATTTAAAAGCCAGGAAATGACAGCAGCAGACGTTTTCACGGACGAAGAGATAACTCCAACAGAAGCTTTGCAGACTTAATGTCATCTTAGACTTTAAGCAGAAGTTTTTTTGTTTTTTTTTCTGCCTGTGCAGGAGTAAAAGATAAAATTGTCTCATATTTTCTCAGTGGCTTTGTGTCATGTGCACTGCAGCCAACCATTATCTACGCATCGAGCAATCTGAAGCTAAAAAAAGTGACTACAGATTCTTTATTTGTCTAAATAATGTCTAAGTAATTTGTTTATAAGAATAGCTCTGTAATTGGTTAGATTTACTTTCGCTTTCTGGGATGCAGGATTTTGGTATTCGACTACATCCCGATCCCTGAGGATTAAAATAAAGTGGATTATAATTGCAGAAAGAATCCTGACGCTGACCCAATGGTCACAGGCTGAAGGCAATTTCATGTCATGATCCCAGGATATTCCAAAAATAATTAAACTACTTACATGGAGCATTTTGTTATTCAGATTATTCAAAACAATCCAGCATATTTGCAGAGCTGCTTGAATCAAAGTGGTGTTTTGTTTAACCCAGTAGCATCAATTTGAATTCACATGTAAACAGTGTACATGGGTCATTCCAAAAGAAATGTGAAATATCATTTGGCAGAGCTCCTGCATTTCCAATTCCCTCCCTGGCTGTTCAAATACATTCAGCGCAACATTGGATTCTGTTGATCAATATAATTCTCAAATTATCTTCTTGCGACACCAGACTGAAGGGCAGCTACTGTCTTTTCTTGGGATTATAGTACGGGGTCACAGAGTAAAATGTTCAGCAAATGTGGATTACCGTTTCATCCCATGTCATGATGTGACTGTGAGGTGAACAGACACAAACCAGCTGTATTATGACTCTTAAACACAAAAATATCCATACTATACTGAGGCGTGCAGAACATGTAGATTTGTAGTTTGATTTAGAAAAGCTACATAGGCTCTAAACTGTTTAAGAGTAGGTATGGAGTGCTTTGACTTGAGTACTGGTGGTGTTTTCTACTAAAACAGTTGCGGTGCTTAAACGTTTGGCGAGAGCACTCCCAAATGACGGCCACGCGAGATTCAATGACTCCTCAGAATCCAAGCAACACTCCAGGTATGTTTTTGATAAGCGAATCACATTATGTAAATGTGACTTATATAATATATAAAGCTCAAAACACTTTACACAATAACCCCCCACTCCTTCAAAAATGGTTCTAATGGCGATCATGAGCCAAGCTGTTTTCTGTGGGTGATTTTCTGTCTGTGCCAGGTGGTCATTAAAGTTTTATAATGTTCAAGAAATGGGCCGATCAGTTTCATAACTATTAACACATGATTACCTACAAATGGATTGAAACATGTTACAAATCAAATGATCTGACTCGCAGCTGAAGTGGGCAGGACGGATTTGTGATTTTATGTTGCTTACGACATGGAATTGTGAACAAACCATTTAAATTTAGCAGACGAGACCAAGACTCATGAAACCACAAAACGTTTTGCCAATCTGTCTTTCAACTTTGGTAAGCCTTTGTGAACTGTGGCCTCAATTTCCTGTTCTGAGCTGACAGAAGAGTGTGGCGTGTTCTCTGCTGCTTTATCCCCAGTTCAAACCAGTATGCCCATTCTCCTTTGGCTACAAGGCACTGAAAAACCATTCGTTCTCAAACTATTCTCCTTAAACCCAAAGTCTACAGATAGTTGAGTGTGAAAACTTCAGCAAGTTTAGATGTTTTTTTAAAATAAAATACTAAGATCAGCCTAGGTGGAACCAGCAATCATTCACATTCAAGGCCACCTAATTGCCCTGTCTTCCCCACGCCGATCCTCCGTTTGAACTTTAGCAAGCCGTCTTCACTACATCTCGATTCCAATGTCCATCAAATTGTTGCCATGAGATTGACAGATTTTCTTTTCGTTTTCACCAGCGATTGGTGTATCGAACAAAGTGGTCAAATGCTTATTGTTCGTGAGTTCAAAAGTTCATGATGTCATAGCAGCACGCACAAACGGATCGATGACCAAAACCATGTGGGTTTCGGTGGAACAGATTAACTGTTTGAGAACAGTTTTAAAACGCCCCTCGTGCTTGTAAATGCCATGAGATCAAAAGGGAAAGGCAAGTTTGAACTGTCTGCATGATGTGTGGTTGCAGAAGTGAGTAGAGCAGCAGCAGCAGCAGTAGCACAAAGCGAACAGTTACCTCAAAACCGAACAGGAAGCTTCCATGTTAGAAAGTGAAAAACTCAGTAGAGTAGTGTACAAAGTCAATGAACATTTTCATTTCTGTTTGATTTCGTGTGTGGCCATCTATAAGTTGTAAGCTTTCCCAGACTTTAGTTTTAAAAACAGATCTCCAGAGTGCCTTCTTTGAGATGGCCCAAAATCAACTTACAGTCACAATAGCAACACAACAACGTCTCTAGAAGACTTGGGAAATTTTGTGAACAGAGACAATGTTTAAAACAAAAAAATAAGCCACTACTGTAAAATGTCACCTTACATGCTTAGGAATTACTGTAAATATTTGGAAACTGCTGTAAGATGTTAGCTTAAATATATAAATGGCATCATTTATATGCATCTCTAGTATAGGTGTCATTTTCATAAAGTAACTTGACTTAAAAATAGAACAAAGAAAGATGTACAAGGGTGGAAAACGTTTCGACACCTCCAGACCACCAATGAGGAGAGTGGAGGGGTGAGGACGGAGCCGGTGAGCTCTGTGGGAGGAAGCATTACTTGTACTTTCCAACTGTGTGTGTGTCTGTGGGTGCGGAAACCTTGCACTGCAAGAGGCTTAAATGAATGCAAAAAGGAGTTGGTGGTCTTTAAAACGGCTCCAGGCACAGGCTTCACATCACATCACATCAGTCTTTGCTGGAGAGAGCACCATGACGAGTATCCCCCTCATCCTGCTTGTATTGGTAGCCGTGATGGTGCCGACAGCCTCAGCGCAAGGTAAGCGAAATGCAGACTTCAAGCAAGTTTCATTGCTTTCAACCTGATTTCTGTGTATTTTTAATGCTGTGTGGCAATCGTAGTTTACTCTTGCCTGTTTTGCCTTTATTAAGGTGGAATCTCAACCTGCTGTATGAAATTCACCAGCACAAAAGTTCATCGAGAATTGCTGAAGAGCTACTACCAAGAAGATAAATCATCATGCAGACTACAAGCAATTGTGTAAGTCAGAAAAACCTACTCCTGGCTCGGATTATTTTGCACATGTCTTTTTTTTCCAGTGATATTCATTATTATTTCTACTACATATATCTTTATGGAGAGAAGGTTTATGTCTTCTGATTCTTATATGGTCTCTGTTTTTTCCCCCAAACAGATTCACAACAATCATGGATAAAAGAATCTGTGGCAGCCCCTTCAATCTGTGGACAAAAACCAGCATGGCCTTTCTGGACGGCAAGAAATTTGCGCGAAAACAGTCAGGCTTAAACAAGGGAACAAAGGAACGTCACTGACACTGATGCTTCTAATTGAGACACAAGCGCTCGATCTGTCATCTTAAGCTGTTTGAGTTTAATCAAATTTAGACTTTAGAATGTACCTCAGCTTTATAAAATTTTAAAATCTGTTGTATGTGACTTTTGTTTGAGTTTATTTAATATTTTTATAACTAATGTAAAAATGTAAATAAATATTATTTTTCTAACTGACTCAAGCTTGTTATAATGTCAAAAAGTATAACTTTCTTTGTGACGTTAAGATTCAAATCTGAATAAAACTGGTGCCTGCTCAATTTCAGCACCCACTCTTCATCTTTTCTCGTCTTTATTGTTACTCAACTCGCTAACACCGCAACATGTTCAATAATTAACACCGATGTGAGATAAGAGCAGCAGCACTGGCTCAGATTTTTGAGTCAGGTAAGAGATTTTCTGATAACAATCAGGTCTTAATGGTGGTGGATGAACTGCTTTCACTGAAGTAGAAAATAAAGTGCTTGAAGCAAGAGCTGCAGAATATATTTGATATAATGACATTTAGGCAAGGTGAGTAATTTTGAAAAACACCACTGTTTGGTTTAAACGTCATTTTATGTAGTTGAATTTCTAAGATCATTATGCCTGTATGAGGAAGGGAACATTATTGAAAATATGGAGTTAATTTAGGACATGCATTGCACCCATTTAATACATTTTAAAAAGTTACCATTACTAAAGTGGCATTTAGGTCATTGTCACTGATCCATTATATTACTGGAACCGTCATCTGTTTGGCATCTATTTGTGTGGAGGAGGTGGGGTTATTAGACCCATTTCTCTAGAAAACAAGCCGGAAAGGAAATAAGCTGGAACCCAGCATAAACCCTCACATGTGACTTTTTCAGTAATAATCAGAGGCAGTTATAACACAGCTCGCCTTACAGGAATGCATAATGATGGGGGGGCGACAGAAGTAACAGAAATACAAAAAGCCCCTCTTAATTGAGTGTTGCCTGTGTTGTGCTCATTAGAAGCACTGTAAAACATAGAAATGCAATGCAAGTGGTCCATGCTGCTAAAGTTAGATAATGAGTCACAGCTGTTTTTTCAGCGGTTGAAGCTACATGCCCTTTGCTGCATTTGGGCACATGGTTTCTACCCATCTCACCATAAACCCACACAAACATGCACAGTAGTCAAATAGCTGACGGTGACACAAACACAGTGTTCCTAATTCATTGACACGACGTGATGCCAGACCCATTTTTGATTCAATCACACGATTAAGATGCCATCTTGAGGTTGTCTTTTTAGACAACCTTATGTTGTCTAAATAGACAACATAAGGTTGTCTGGCTTCACACACTCACTCCTAATGAGAATTTAGAGACAAATTGAGGTGTTTTTGGACTCCTAGCCCAAAATTGTCATGTTTTTCAATCAATTCCTATTCTTTGCAAAATAGTCTGGATTTTGTCAGGCTGGATGGAGAGCCTCAGTGACCCTCAGATTCCAAGTACTGAATCAAATCCCACATTTTAAACTTTAAATATGCTCATATCTAAATAAATCCACTATAGGCCACATATATATTTTTTTTTATTTCCCTTAAGCCATCTCCCTATCAATTTTGACCAGCTTCCCTGTCCTTGCTGAGGAAAGCGCCCTCACTGTATGACACTAAGGGTACCATACTGCCCCCAAGAGGCAGGTGCCGTGTTTGTGGCGATGAGCAGTGTTTTCCACCGCACTCTGGGGACCTTCCTGCACATCTTACTGTGTTCCCTTCATGGCTTGTGGCAAACAGCAGATGGGACTCATTGTGGTTTCTTCTTGCCACTCAAATTGTTTTTCAGTCAGGTGGACTCCAGTTTATATATATAAACTTCAGTTTATATATATAACTGGAGAAATACCAGGGTCTCAGAGAGGAACTGGAAAAGACCTGGAAGGTGATGACCACAGTGGTGCCTGTGGTCATCACCTATATATCTATCTCTCTCTCTCTCTCTCTCTCTCTATATATATATATATATATATATATATATATATATATATATATATATATATATATATATGTAATTTAACAGACATAACCTCCATCAAAGCAAATTCCACTCCATGATTAAAGTTTATGGCTGTCATACCAAGACCGCTGTTGACCAGTCCATGCCATTTTGAGATTTATTATTATGACAGTTTATATTTTCTTGTCTTGATCTTATAGGTTATTTTAATTTACTTATTTTTTTCAGTGTTGATTAAAGTAACATATAAATAAGTCATAGCATCAGTTTAAAAGAAAACTGTGAACACGGAGAATAGTTCTTACACTTTTTCACTTTCACAAATGAATGCAACCACAAACCATCCGAAATTCACTGGAACAGAACAACAACTGCGGTGCATACTCTCTTAAGCCATTCTGTTTAGAAGCTTAAGTAAACAACATTTTTGAAGGCCATTGGGGAGCAAAGTCCAGTCATAACGCTGTAGACCAACTTACTGGGTTTAGGGCTTTGGAAAAATAGGGGTTCGATTTAGGATTAGCCTTACAAAGTCCCAATGTGGGTAGCAATGCACACTTTTATATGTATTTTTATAAAAAAGTCTGTCTGCTTGAGACTATTAAGTAAATAACAGGGACTTTTTGTTCAACAGCATCTCTTGTAAAGCAAACACTTAAAAAATCTAAAAGTATTTTAAGTAAAAATAGCCCCGGCATATTGTCTCAGTATACTTTTTTTGTTATATATTTGCACAAACTGTATGTTTGCACCTTGTTCTATCACCAACACCAAAAAACAAAATGGAAATGTAATCTTGAACATCCACTCATCTATAAACAAATTGCTGCGGCCTGAAAACAAGGACCAATCATTCTTTCTCTATTAAAAACAACTTTTTTTCTCTCTGTCTGCATATGCTTGGATGCAACAATAAGTTGTTGCTAGAGGACAAGATCAATGTTGAACCATATTTGGAGGATCAAGGACTTTCGTTAATGGAAGAGGAGCTATGAGAAGGAAGTGAAAGAAAAACTGCGTAGGCGACAACCAAATGGCCATGAGTATGTTTACGATAATTGGTACATCAGATGATGGACTGGAATAAGTCTCATTTTCTTGTTTTGGTTTAAACTGATAGTAGTAATGTAAAGCTTTAAGGCACTGCTAAGTCATGCTAATATCATTTTTGTTTAAGTAGCAGTGAAATAAAAATGCATGAATGTTTGACCGTAAATCTATGTTTAGTTGGTGTTTTATCACTTTTTTTTTATCCCATTGTCAGCTTTAGGGGTTACGGTTAGGGTTAGGGTTAGGCAATAATCTATAATCTATAACAATGTTGCAAACTGTTTTCTCCACATTATGTATCTACATCATAATAAAATCTCATGAGGATATTTGGAAAGTACGTTTAGCAGAGAAAAGATTTATAGTTTTAAGGGGTTTACTTTTACTAATAAAAACCTCAAGCGTTTATTATTTGCCTATTCTTTTCGCCAAACAGATCAATCTGACAGACGGACGGTGTGTCCAACCACAGATTCCCCATTGGAGTTTGGTGTGGACCATTCTAATTTTCCTTTTATCTAAATCTTTATATAATGGATGGATGGATATGTGCTGTTGTCTAACAAAGCTTTGAGGCCTTAACCTCGGAGGTTTGAACATCTGTACCTACACTGACAATACATTAAAGTCTCTAGCTACACAAAAGTGTAAAGTATACCCCTCAAAAAGTATTTCAAATATCTCAACGGTATTTATCATTAGTGTTAAATTATTTGGGGGGGAAACGAAAAGCGGTGGGAGGAGGATCTGGCTGTAAAGTGTTGACGAGAGGTGGCTTCATGCTTCCTCTTTCCAACAATATATTTGTGGTGCAAATAATTTCAATTGCACACCATATGGATACGATTAAGCCGAGTCGGTCATCTTAAACAGTGGACAAGTAAAGGACCGTCCTTGAGCATCTTTTCCCTCCATCATGAGTCTCACCATCCTGTTCTTACTGGTAACTTTGATGCTGCCAACAGCTCAAGGTAAGATCAACATTTCCGTCTTAAATAAAAATAACTCGGCTTTTAATTTTGTTTGGTATAAAATTCCTCTATTTCAATTTTCCAGGAGGCATCTCTAAATGCTGTCTGAAAAACGCCAAAACTAAAGTTCCTCGAACGTTGCTGAGGAGTTATTATGAGCAAAATGATCCATCATTATGTTCTGTACCTTCAGTGGTGTAAGTTAAAAAAAACTTTTACTTTTATCATTGCACTTTATCCAAGCAAGTATATAATACAAAAATGTGTTGAATATTTTGTCTTTTATTTTTAAAAGATTTACCACGACGAAAGGGAAAAAACTCTGTGCTAACCCCAGCAATACATGGACAAAGACCAGCATGGCCTATCTGGATGGAAAGAACTGGCAGCAAAAACAAACTGCTTTCAAAAAGAAGCTGGAAAATTCATCAAACTAATCCCACTACTGAAACAATAAAGGTGCCCCATTTTCTTCCCTGCTGTTTCAGTTTAAGTACCCGTCAGCTTTGCAGCGTGCCACATTTTGTTAAAATTGTATCATCTATCGCAGTGAGTTTGACTTTTAACAAGTTTTGTTGCCAATGAAAACCTTGAAAATTGATACTTTTAACTGAAATGATCATGGATTCAACCTAAGGACAGTCACAGTGTAATTAAGTTCTCTAATCACGAGTTTTAAATCAGGGCAAATTATAGATGCACAAAGCTACAATTGCTTTTGCGTCACCTAATGTTGATGCTGTTACGTGTTTGATTTCTGTAATATCACAAGCTCTCACACTCTTGGGGCATAAGAGTGAGGGAAAACTCAATTAATTGAAAACTAAAAAGTGTACCCTAATAGCTATTTTTTATATAAAAAAAATAACACCAAATTTATCTCAAATTTAAAACCCAACTCATCAGCGGTCTGGCAATATGATGAATTTTTGCCCACAACAATGACCATTGCTTTCCACTTCCCCTCACAGGACGGTTTGACACTTTAGACTACGGGCTAACCAGACGGAGGCTTGCAGTCAGTGTATTTCCATTAGTGTTTTAACACTATGATGTGTGAAGCTCTACCAAAAAAAAAAAAAAAAAGAAAAAAAAAAAAAAAAAGTTTGGTCTCAGTAGGCTGAGAGAGAAAGTACAGCTGTGTGTCAGTGTGGTGCAGCTGGGGGATGTTTGAGGGGCTGAGAATGGAGAGCGTTTGAGGTTGTTGCAATGTTTGCTAAAACCGAACTGTAATGGGTTTTTCCCACACCCTGTATAAATTATAAGCCCACCCCTATTATTAT